GGTCCCTTTGTTTTCTCCTCCAGATTGTTTATCTGAAAGTCTGTTTTTTTTTAAAGGGACCCACCCAAGATTACAAGGCTCATGTGTCGCGGACAGGAAAATGAACCCATGCCCTTGGACACCTGCACCCTCATGGCATTACAGATGCCTTTCAAGGATTCCACAAGTGGATATCTGGTACCCTCCAGACTGTTAGGCTTGTAAATGTGTTTATTTGGCAGACTGACTATTTTACCAGCTTTAAATTCATTGTTATTCTTTAAATATGAGAAAGTTTTACCTGAAATTCCAAATGTATGACCTCCTGAAGTTCCAGCAATACTATCCTAGGATCCCACAAAGTAACACTGAGCTGGAGCCGAGTATCTGCTATCTCTTTAGGCTGGGCATGTGCTTTCAAATTTGCTCAAGTCCCCACTACTCTATATTGTCCCCCTGGCCTTTTCTGCAGTGCTGTTATCTCCCTGGTTCAGATAAACAGTTGATTTCAGAACTCCTGCACTGTAATCAAGCTGCAACTTCAAAGAAGCAGAATGTCACTTCTGCTCTGGTGCTGTCAAAGCCCAATCCAAGTCACTCACTCCTTCATCTCTCTGTCTAGTCAATCATCCATTCACTATCCACCCATCCTTTATTCTTCCTTTCTCATGGGTCCTCATTATCTCTCTTAGTGATTCCCAAACTGATCACATCCTTGATCAATCATATCCCAAATGAATCACTAATCACACCTCTGTGTCTTGGCTGATACCTACTTTCCTCCTACTCAGGACGAGAAGGGCTGCGTCAGAGGTGGGAGATGATCTGCCGAGGAGCAGCGTTACAGCAGCGGATTATTTTTCACGTGCTCTTCCTCCACCCACTTCTATTTCCACAAGGCTTTTCGAGTTACCAACTAAGAAAGGTTGTTAGCTCTCAGTTTCTCTGGTGGGGCAAACCCTACCTACACCTGCAACAAGGGTATATTTTCTATAGTTTATAGCTCAAGGAAACTTTGGCGCTTAGACGCTGACATGGTTCAAGAAACACTAAGCAATAGGCCTATTTAGCTAGTTGGTTGGGTTTAGAGATCTGTTTTTGTCTGAAGATTCTGAGCTCAGCTTTAATAATGATGGTCAGAAAAATTACTGAAAACGTTGCTTCATCTTAAGCATTCCTATAAGTTGGCTCCAGGCACTGTCGTTAGAGAGGCTTATGTTATTGCCACGAAGATGGGTGGCTGCTGATTAACCCCGGTGGGCCCTAGAGAACTGGGCGGAAGCCAGTCTGGTTTCTGCTCCGTCTCTGCATCGAGTCCAAGCTGTGAGCTCAGCAATGACTGCAGAGTCCGGATGACAGGGTCAAAGTGAGAGGCTGGACAAACCCCAGATGGGTTCTCAGACCCCAGGGACAGCCAATAGCAATAGACTTCAACCTCCGATTCTAAATGAAACGAGCAGAGATCTGGAAGTGGTCCAGAGGAGCCAGCCCCTGAATCCCACAGCATCAGGCTGAGAGGCAGTTAGATCGACCTTCTCTGCTCTCATAGACTCCTAGGGAAACTTGGCGATTTCAATCAGTAGATAAGAATGTCAATCACAGAGTGAGACTTTGCAGGTGATTTGATCAACACTGACACACACAGAATTCAGATACAGAAAAGTGCAGGGAAGCCAGGTTCCTGTAGATTTGCCATGACTATATAGCTAGGCTTGTGCAATCAAATTTGAATATAGATGGTTCGGACAGGCTCTTAATCATCCAAGATTAAGCTATAAAGGCAATGATATCTAATGAGTAAAGGTAAAAACTGGGGTCATAATTCAATTGCTTCTGCTAGTCCTCTAGTTCATGTGGGAATCCAGACAAAGTATAATTTCTCATCAGCTCCTCAGATATCGGGCCAATTGCTCATTTGCTCCTTCGGATATCGGGCCACACCACAGCAGACTGGTCCTCCAGACACACCATGATTTGTGACTAGTTGTCCATGAAGGGCTTTAGGAGAACACAATTGGCAAAGACTTTGGCCAAATAAAATGAGTCCTTCCCTTGTGTTCTAAAGCTTAGTGTGAAAAGTGGATTGTTTGGGACTTCAAGAATCTGGGACCAGGGCACTAGGAGGACTGAGGGTGAAGGCTGAGGAAAGGCAAGGGTCTGGGATGGGACTGGAATCCTCATATGGATCAGAAGGGGTTCTTGGGAATTAGTGGAGATAGAATAGCATTTCCCCCTGTACTCCTCGGTCAGCGTTCTCCTGCTTAAACTGATGTCTGCTTTTGGGGAAAAGGAAGTTTGCTCCACATCACTGAGCAACCAGGAGAGGCACCTGGGTCCCACACCCTCCCCAACCCTCTTTAAAAACAAGATGCCCTCCATGGATTCTAAGGCCTGGCCACCCCATGTGTGCGGGCTGGGCATTGTGTGCCAGAGGGTCTTCAACGGTTTTTTTGTCATTTTTATTTTTGGACTAGATACCAGGCCTTTCTGCCAAGTGTCTCTGAGGGGATGTGAACCTCCAGTTTCACCTTCCCGCTCCAGTAGTCCTATAGCTTTGTGACTGGGCATGTCAACAAGAACATAAGAGTTGGAGGTTGAAGGATGAGCAGGGATGGGTGATGAAGACCTGGCCTACGGCTGTGACAAGGTGTGAAGAGGTCAGGTCTACAGTGCTGACAAAGGGAAAGAGGAGAATACAGAGAGACTGGCTATCCTGCAGTGATCAAAGTTGACGGTACAAAGAACAAACACGAGTCCATTGTCTTGGCGTCCCCACACAGAACTGCCTGATCACGAGATTTTGGCAAGGCAATCCCCCTTCACCCTCAACCAATTGGTTAGCTAGTGACCAATGATGCAGTAAGATGGGGCTGAGCCAATTCAATTCTCTTTTCAGAATTTTCACTACAAAACACCCAGGCAAAAAGAAGTGACACTGAAGGTGAGAGGCTGGGGCGCAGGGGGCAAAGCTAGTGGACGAGCAGAGCCACAGAGATGGGGCAGATCTGTACAGACAGAGCTGCCTTCAGCAGACATGCAGCGAGCAGCAGACACACCCGGGCAGCGGCTCCACAGGGTGTCCAGAAGTTGTCCAATTCCGTTCCAATTCTAGACCATCTGTACCCTTTTACCTGAGCTAACCAAACCACTTCTTTCCCATGAAAAGAACCCAACTCTAACAGTCAGTACAAGTTCCGGGTACGCAAGTAAAAAAACAGAATTGTTATCTGAAGACCTTTACTTAAGGGAGAGTGAGTAGGCTGGTTCCCTGAACAAACAGTCTCCCACCATTGATTGCTTGGAAGCATCTTGTGTACTTGAGATTAGGTTTCAAGCAGGAAATGGTGTGACCTAATTTCTTTCTTTCTTCTAAACGATTTCAGGGTCAGCCAATGCTATGTCTGAGTCCCGAAGAGAGGAAGTCTTGACATCTACAAAGAACTGGTCTGGTCTGAGAGAGTTAAGTCCTTTTTAAGATTCAGGTCTACAAATCTCTCTGAGGAAGGCTTGAGAACCGGGACTTTGTGCCTAGTTAAAAGGAGCGAAAAGTGTGGCAAAAAAAATGCTAGTTCACCGACAAGCTCTCTTGAGCCGTTTCTCATCTCCGAGAGAGCTGAACTGGGAGAAAAATTGAGAGCAGCTATTGTCCATATGAGACCTCATCTATTATGTCCACAGGCTCTTGGAAATACCCCCCGCACCCCACCCCTCCCGCAAGGCTGCCATCAGTACTTGACTGAAAACACATGGAAGGAGCTCACTCAGAGCAGGAATTCATTATTGGAAGAAGAAGAAGGGAAAGTTTGTCTCTGCTGCTGGGAGAGCTGCTCTCTGGAAAAATCACGGGGCTTAGAGGGAATTTGAATCACGTCTGGTAACGAGGGGAGGAATAGAGGTGGAAGGGCCCTTTTCCAGAAGGTTTTTCGCACAAAGCATGATGGTCCCAAGAAACTCAAAAGGACTTGCTCCATTTTAGATGTGCTCTTGAAATCAGGCCAAGGCTCACTTTAACCCATCATCCATTCCCAGCATGGGGAGTGTCCTTTCGTTCCATGGGTAAAGCATCCAAGGTTAACTGATTTTTTTTTCCTGGATACGGGCTGGGAAATGAATTGATCTCTCTTCCTTAGCACTACCTCATAGTTCTTCCATATTCGCCAAGTGACCTCAAGGACAGGCACAGATACGGAGTAAATGTGAAGGAGGGACACATTTGCCAGCCTACTGGGCATTCTCGTCATGGCAGACATTACAGACGCTCACTGAAACCTCGTTCTCCTCCTCTCCCGAGCCAGATACACGGGGTGCACTTCCCCTCCTCCAAGTGAAGAGGGGGCGTGTATCAGCTTGACCTGGAGAGAAGAAAGGTTGTGTGGCATTTCTTGGGAGCAGCACCCAGTGTTCAGCCTCTCTTCTCCTGGGGTGGGCCATCTGTGGAAGTGCCTGTTGATACTGACAGCGTGGAGTCGTCACACGGAGGAGTGTTTCCCTGGAGTGCTGCCTCTCACACCTAGGCAGACTTAAGACTTGGGGCCAAGGCTTTGGTTATGCAGCAGAACCAAGTTGGCTTTGACTTCTCCCCAGCAATCTATTGGGCTCCCCTCCTTGAGGATCAATTTGGAGCTCTGGAGGTGCTGTGTTCTGCCTCCACTTGGAAAATCCGAGAGGTAGGCAACGTGCTTCCTCATATACTCAGTATATTCAGCCGAGCGGCGCGACGGGCTTTTTGCTTCTCTTAGGGTAGAAGAGGCCTCTGTGGCAGAATAAAGTCCCTTCGTGGCCAGGGGACACACTGGCACCAAGGGTATTGCAATCAAGGCCTGGAGAAGTTGATGCACCCACTTGGTTCTTAGACCACACTTTTTCAGGCCAGAATC